GAGAAGCTCTGATATGTTTGAAATGTGCAACCTTTTAAATGAGTATAAAACAGTACCAAATGAGCATTCATAACTTCCAAAATGAGTAAAAAAATTCAAAAACTCATTTGTGTGTGATCATTCATTTTGGATGTTATACTCATTTGAATTTACCATGAAACTCATTTCTATTGTGCTCAATATAACATAAAACTTATGTTAATAATTAATAAGCTGAAAATATTAACACACAATATTACACTAAAAAACACAATATTTAAAATATAATACTACCTCCGTCTCTTAAAACTTTGTCAAGTTTGACTGACACGAGGATTAATAAAGTAAAAACTGTGTGGTAGAGGTTTGTGCAGAGAAGAGAGGATTAACAGGAACCACAAATTTTTTAATTAAAAGAGAAAGTGGCAAAATTAGTGGGACATCCAAAAAAGGAAAGTTGACAAAGTTATAAGGGACGGAGGGAGTATTAAAATACAATATAAATTTGTCAGGTTGTAGAACTAAAATAATTGAGCAAGAGACTTTACCCTTTGATAGCATTGGAGGCCCGACGTATTCTTCCGTCATCGGAAATCCGAGGGAGCAGCGAGCCAACAGCATCAGCATCGATCGGAACTCCAGGCTTCAGCCAGCGAGCAACATCGTATGGACCGGAGCCTCCTTCCCCAACTTCCAGGACTTGTAATTAATTGCAAAAACAATTAATTGTAATTAATTTGCCTCAGCCTTTCATCCAGCCTCAACAGTGGTTCAGTTGGCAACCATGAGCGCATGTAAAACCCTACTTCGTTCTCCATTATTCTGTAGACAATGCCAACCTGGAACCTTCACCTCCCCATTAAAGTTCCATTCTTTCTCTCCTTACGTCTTCAGACTCCCTCCTCCCTGTCGAAGGTCCTTCATCCTCTCCCCTGATTCAGGTACACAAACGCACTCTCAAAGTCATATCTTTTACATTCATTTGGTTCTGGTTTCTTGAAAATGAACCCTGTCTTACATGTTCATTACGGATTATTGATGAATTTATGTTAAAGAAAGTACTGATGGATATACTTCTTCCCTGACTAATTTCGAGTTTAGGTTATAGGGTTGAAGCTAGTAGTGAAATTGTAAGGCGTTATAGTTGCAGTGAAGCTGCAGTGTCACTAGAAACCGATGGTAGCACTGAAGAAATTTCAGCCCAGAAGAATAACCTTCAAGTTCCAGAAGACACTGTGGCCGGATTGCTTACAAAACCAAATGAAGTGTCCAGGCTTATGAAAATGGAGCGGAGGCTGGAAGGGGAGTGCAATGTTCAGTTGGAGCGTTGGTTTCCGTATTTGGATAAATTTAAAGCTGGAAGTGTGTATTTGAGCAGTAATGAGGTGTTGGAAGCTATTGATCCCTACCTAATGGAGGGGAGGAAGGAAAGGTTTCGAAAAGCTGTGAAGAACAGGACGTACTCTGTTTGTTTGGTGGTGGAGGGTTTAAGTGATTTTGGCAATGTGTCTGCTGCATTCCGTTCAGCAGATGCTCTTGGCTTTCAGTCTGTCCATGTCATTTCCCGCGACATCTCAAAAAGGTGCAAGGACACTTGAGGTGAAAATGCCCTTTGAGCTCTTCCGACATCAATGGGTTGATATTTCTTATCTATAATTTTCTCTATAGCTTTATTTGTACCTATGTTTGGTTCAGTATAGTTTGGTTTCATGAGTGAGATCAACTAAGTTGATTGTAAAATGGTTATAAAACCTTATGTTAATGCAACTATGCTAAACCAATTCAATTTATGTTAGCCGACCCCAAAATCTTTTGGGAATAAGGCTTGGATGTTGTTGTATTCAAAATTATTTCAAATTATAAGAGAATGCACTTCCTAACCAAAGTTGGCTCATAAAACTGGCATCTGCTGGATGCTCCTTCCGATTAAGATGGATGGTTATGCTTACTCTTTATATATATTTTATATATGCAGGTACAGGGACAATCGCCATGTCAGTATGGGGGCAGAGAAATGGTTGGATATTGAGCTCTGGAATTCTCCCCTTGAGTGCTTCAAAGTTTTGAAGTCGCGTGGTTATCGCATTACCACAACACATGTTGGAATGGATGTGGTACACTATTTACTTTGGAAACTGGAAAGAATTTTGCTTGGAGTAGCATTATGTTTCATATTTATTATTTATGTGATCGTGAACTTGTAATCATTATTGGTGCTCACCACTCACCAGGTCTCAATATATGATATGGACTGGTCTTGCCCAACTGCAATTGTTGTTGGCAATGAGAGTAGGTAATCCAAATCCCCTACTTGAGTGTACTTGATATATTTATTTGGGACCTTTACTATCAAAATACCATAGCTTTTTCTTTCATTGTTTCTTTGGATAAGGTTAGAATTGGTTCATTTCCAATTTTCCATTCCATTTTCCATAAAATACAATAATTATTTTACAAAGTTCTTTTTAATAAATTAAAAATAAAAATTAAAAATTATGTATAAAAATAATTTAATTAATACTCGTAATGAGTAATAGATTATAGTATAGTATACCAGACACAAACCTGAATTAGGAGCAGCTGAACCACATATGTTTCAAACAGAATGATTGGGCATGGTGCTGGACATTGAAACTAACAAAAGCTTTTTCATCAAATTCCCATGGAGACCTTCTTGATGAACTAACGAAGTTGAGTACCACTTGTTTAGTTGAATCACACACTTCATGTAGTTGCCAAGCTGTGGGAAATTTGGCATGGATGGTTATGGATAACACCTGCAAAAAGAATTTCTAAGGAACTTGATTTCCAAACTTCAGTCCAGTACTCTGGAGGTTGCTTCATAGCGACCCATTTTCTGATTAGTTCGACTGGAACAATGCTGAAACGGATCCAGAAAAATTAAGAAATACAGAGTATAATGGTGAAAGAGTGGTATTTGAGCTGAATCAAATTTATTTTTCTGAGGAAAAAATCTAGCAAGTCTTTTAGCTAGATTTAGAGTGGGTTTCCATTGCCCAAATGACCATTTTCATTTGACGTTTTTTAGAGTGAACCAAACACCGCAAAAGCTGGAAAACAACTATTGGAATTTTCAAGTTTCCAAAGTCTTATTTGTGTTTCTGTTGTGCTAAATTTTCATATTCTTTTTATTCTGAAAGACTGGAACATGAATTCTAAGATGCTCTCTATTCGGAAAATTTGTATTGTCTTGTCTTTAATAACCTATGGGTTGCTTTTCAAGTTTCTCAAATTTTACTGCAACTCAGTACATCAGTAAATGAAATTTTAATTGCAGGGGAATAAGTGATGATGCTCTTGGATTGTCAGATATGCACTGCAGTATTCCAATGAAAGGCATGGTGGACTCCTTCAATGTTTCAGTTGCTGCAGGAATTCTCATGCACCATGCTGTTTGTGACCGGACTTCCCGCATGGTAGGGGATTTATAATTTAATTAACTGCACTTCTTTGATTTGCTTTTCTGCCCCTTCTGAAATATTTTCTTTCAATTTTTTTCTTGCTTTCCCTTTTCTAAAGCAAGTCTTTTTAATAGTACTAATTAGTTAATATGATGGACTGAAAGTGACTATTTTTCCATACAAGTGGCCATTATTTATAAAGATTTGTAATTAGGTGCATGAGTAGTTGAGTGTGGCGATGTGTGGGAATACATGGTACATGTATTTAGGTGGGAGAATTAAGATACTTTAGTTTATTTTCGTTGCTTCTAGAGCTGCCATTGCAACTCTAGAAGTAATATTGTGCTCATTTATTCTTCTTAAAATTGGTGTCTGTAATCTGTATCAATGCCATTATAGTCTCTCTGAAAGACATTCAGGCAAGATGTGACTAATGAAATCCCAATTTATAGCTGTACATTATCTTTAGAACTTGTTGATGGTGTGGTTACATATTTTCTGTCGGTCCATAATAAAGTTTTTTATGTGACTCAGTTACAACTTAAGGAATGTTTGGCATAACTATTTCAAATGGTCTCTGCATGGTTTCTCCTGAAGGTGAAGCTTGTTTTGTTTACAGATTGATACTCAAAACTCGAGAATTACTTTTAACACAGAAGTAGTGACATTTTAATGTAGTTACTTGGGTTGCTTCTACTGACAGAGCTCACATTATCTTATATATTGTTTTTCATTTGGTGGGGGAAGGGATGCCACGGGGATCTAACGCCGGAAGAGAGGCAAACATTGCTAGCAGAATTCTCATTGCGCCACAGCGATAGTGCAATAAGCATTGCAAATGAATATGCAAAAAGAAAGATGAGTAGCTGACGCCAAGGCTTTGAATGATTTGATGTGGGTACTAGGCCATTTTTTCCTAGCCCTGCAATGCATAGCTAGTACTGACTATCTTCATGGCCTTACTTAATATTCGTTTTTCTTTTTTCCCCATATTTTAAGATGCAGAAATTTTGAAAAGATGCAATAATACTCGTGTATTGTCACTGCAATGTGTGATGCCTTTTTCATATATTTATGTGTTTGAGGCGCTGATTGGTGAACTCTCCAAATTTCCTCCTGTTTTAACGTCTTTAGATGGTTTAACAAGGCTCTTGCATTCTGATTCCAAGAAAACATCTAACTAATCTCGTTGGGAGGCCAATACATTTGGTCCAGGTTCACAACGAATCATAGGCTCAAGTGAGCCGGTACATTACTAATGCATAGTCTGTCAAAAGAGCCAATCTCCTCGAATGTCCGATTTGTATGTAGGATTATTATAAAACCAATTATCATGTTAATTAGTAACGGAATACGCTAAGGTGTGAAGTTATGTATTGAAATGCCATTCTATGTTACAAAATTCTCTAATCTTCCATTATCCAATGGAGAGACATGTCGGCCAGACACTGAATACCAAAGAGAATGCAGTGTATATTTGTATACTACAGGAAGCAGGGTAACATACACTACCTTTTCCATTCTTTTTTCTTCCAAAACTCTCCTCCCATTTCGTTAAGGAAAGATTTGTATGGTTGAGATTGTTTTTACCTTTTACATCAATCACAACCATACAATTTCATTTTTAAGCATGCCAAGTAAATTTTTGGGATAGAGGAAGTAAAGTGGAGAGCATTTGGCTCTTAAATCATGTAGCCTTTATACAAAAATGCAGGCCCCATATGCCACACAATACTCTACATGAACAAAGTGTGATGTTCAATCCTTCTTTCAACTTCTGATGACTGAGGTGTGAGTAAGGTGCTTGGATTTGCCGGACCGAAGATCAACTCCACACAGAATGTCGGGCCACATATCGACCTACCCTTGTTTCCAACTTTGTCCATTTCTCGCAGAGAAAGCTGAAAGTTTCAGTGTATGAATCAGATATAATTTGATCCTGCAGAAACTTTAAACTGAACCTTTTCTGCGTTGCAGGAATCACAACCACACACCTGTAACAGGCCGCTCTTAATAAAAGAAGTGTTGAAGCAGGCATAAAAGAGACGCCCTCCGATGAGCTTCTCGTAGAATATTATACGTACATCTCCTGCCACCTGTTTGATGAATAGACAGTATAATCAAAGTTACTGGATATGTGTCTGAACTTAGATATAGATTGAACCACACCGCTTTTAGTGCCGTGTCTCTCTTAGGGGTCAGCCTGGTCTTACTCTTGGTTCTGGAGCTGGACCATATCGGAACAGGACAGTATCCTTCTATGGTAAAAATTGGTTTCACCAAAGTAGGAGCAGACCAGAATGGTGCTGTTTTTTTTTGCATATAAGCTAATAAACTGGCCAAAACCGACTAGAGAATTGAAACCGGAGCAAGTACACCTGGTTCTGGTTCCTGTTCCACTCTTTATGGGACCAAAACGGGCTGATCCCGGAACTGGAACCAGAACCAGACAGAGTCCACCCATATAGGTGGGCAGGCAGGCTGGATATAATCTTACTTGCAAAGGATTTTCGTAGTAGTAGTCAAGGCAGGTCTTGTGGTAGAGAATGGAACTTTCTGTGTCCATTTGGATCACCAATCGCGGCTCCTTCTCTTCTGGTGGTTGATCCTCTTCCTCGAGGTACGAATAATAATACCTAGGGCTATTGGCTCTTTGAAGGCCACACTTGTTTCGTCTGCAACAACTCTTTGAGATTTCCACAGGCGGGGCATATCTCTCTCCTGGAATCTGTTTGTAATACATTAGATTGACACAATAATGCTGTTCTAAAAATGTGCAAGATAACAAATAAAACAGTTGAAATGAAAAGATAGCTACTGCAGGGAACATTATTTGTAGCATTCCTATATGTCGTCTAATTGTTGGGTGGTAAAACGTTATCCAACTTTTCACCACCCAATAAATGTACACCACCTAAGAATATGTTTAAATAAAGTACATACGGAGTATATAATGTCCAAGAGCCAGACTAGCTAAGAAACAACAGAAAACAACTTACATTTTGCAACTCGGAGACAACAAAAAAGATTGAATCAACATCTACTGTATCATATAACCGAATGCTCCTAAGCTCTCGAGCATACGGTTTACCCAGTTCCACACACCTAAGGGCACAACCAACTCTCTTAGAGGAGGAAAGAACCTTCTCCCAATAACCAACATAACGTCGCTGGCTTGGTATTGAAACCTGTTTAGCAAATAGGGTGGGTGATCCCAACTTCTTATGGTCTGATAAAATTAAGGACAGAAAGTAATAAGGAGATTTACTCCTTCATTGTTAGTGGTACGCTTCTCGGCATACACTTGAAGAGCTTCCTCTGCTGACATGCCTGTGTAAACCAGGTATGCACATACCATCATGCCTGTTCGACCTTTACCTGCCTGTATATTCCACAAGCAAAAAAATCACCATGCTTCGAATGAGTAAGAAGCATTATGGGATGAAGAAGCAAAGATCAATTCTCTACCAAGGATTGGTAATTGGGGTGGGCCTGGTTATAGACTTATAGTTCTAGAACCATACTGGACCTGCTGGACCGGTCAAATATTTGTCCAGAGCTGACAGGAAAAAAGTAGTTCTAGACCAAAACTAGAAACGGTCCAAATCCAGTCTGGCACAGGTTCAACCTTTATGTGACCCGGAACCTGGTCCACCCCTAGTCATAATTAACCGATGACGATCATTTAAAGAACATCATCTAACTATGATTTTTTTTTGTAGAAGCATTGATGTGTTTTACCATGCAGTGTATGACAGCAATGTTCTTTGGGTCACTTGACAGCCATGAATGCACATCTTCGCAAAAATCCTTGATCATTTGGAGAGTTGGGACATGGTTGTCATCAATTGGATACCTCTGAACGCGACCATAAAAATGTGCTGAATCATAACTTTGTTCTATACACAAGTTATAGACCTGCAAGCAACTCAGCCATTACAAAACAGAAAAAATACAAGTGAAAGAAAGGTGCAAAACATTTGTGACCTATGCACGACCACACGTTAATGTATGAAACAGGATACGTGAAACCGAAAAATCTCCAGACTTCATGCATTACATTTACATAAAAAAAATAAAAAAATGGAAACGAGCATACACATTTCACACCTTATAATGTCCATAATGCCTCATATCGAGAACCGATTTAACCTGCCATAAAGGATTCCTATACATAGCCCGCACGTGTTCTGCAGGAAACGACATTGCCAGAACTCTGTCGGTTATATAAGTCATGTCTAGATCATAGCCTCCGACGAGCAACCGCCTTCTCTTCTTCGAGACCAAGTTACGTATGTAACAATTTCGGAAGAGGTAATTGAGAAGCAGATTTTGTTGCTGGTGGAAGTAGCTGCTCTTCTTTGGCCCTTGTTTTGCAAGCCTTATCCCCATTGCAGGATGATGATTAACAGCTGGTGGGCTGGTGGATTGTGGAACTGATAATACAATAACCTTATAAAGGTTGAAACAAATCGAGGTTGCATGCTATTGAAAGAAAAATAAGAAAAGGTCCAAGAATCTTGATAATAATGTTTGATTCTTGGACCCTGTCAGACAACCTAATTCTCTATTTTGATTGCAATGAATGTTTTAAGGTGGCCACACCAAACAGATGATAACCTCCATCATATATTCATTTCCTTTATGCAGTAGTTTTTTTTGTTAATTTGCAAAGGATTTTCTACCACCGCAATTCTGAGAAAAACAAGGCAGACTTCATGGAGATGAATTTATTTAGCTAAAGCAAATACTTTGGATATACTGAGTACATTTAATGACTTAGTTACCTCCTTTGTGCCCCTAGCTATTAGCCTTCAACTTTTAAACAAAAATTCTTTAGCCCGAAAAAGTGACTGAAAATTTTTATTGACATAGGTATAAAGTGACTGAAAATTTTTAATTTTTTAAATCATACTCCCTCTGTCCCTTATAACTTTGCCAACTTTTCTTTTTTGGATGTCCCACTAACTTTGCCACTTTCCCTTTTAAGTAAAGAATTTGTGGTTCCAGATAATTCTCTCTCTTCTGCTCAAACCTCAACCACACAGTTTTTACTTTATTAATCCCCGTGCCGGTCAAACTTGGCAAAGTATTGAGGGACGGAGGGAGTAATTTCTTATCATTATTTTGAAAAAAATCAATTTTTTTGCAGCAACATTTTGTCATTTTTACAAATAATTTTATATTGTTGATCCAAGCATTTTAAAATGAACTACTCCCTCCATATTTTGAAGTTCTCTACATTAGGTTTGGGTACAACATTTAAGTAAGAAATAATCGGGGTAATGAATAGTACAGAAAAAGTAGGAGAGAAGATGTAAAAGTATGAAAGATAAGATAAAAAGTAGAAAAAATAAGGGTAATTGAATACTCCCTCCATATCACATATATCTTCCCCCTTCCAAAGTGGGTGAGATTAAGAATAGTGAAATGAGATATGAATTATTGAGGGTATAATGAGAAAATGGTGAAATAATGTGATAGAATGAAGGATAAATCCAAAAAAAGTAGGTGTAGTAGTGTATTATTTTTTAAATTATTGAGGGTATGATGAGAAGATTTTGATATGGGAAGATATAAATATTACGTCCAAAAAAGGAAAGTGAGAAGATATGAATGTTACGAGGGAGTATTTTTAAAGGAAAAAACTTACCAAAAAGGGAAATTGTAGCAAACTTTTAAGTACATCCAAAAAAGGAAAGTGTAGCAAACTTTAAAATAAGGAGGGAGTAGCATTTTGGCCATTTTCACTGTATAAGCACGTCAGATTTTTTTTAATCTTTATATATGCAATATTGGTGCCAAATGAAAGATAATAAAAAGTTATGAAATGTGGTATATCTTTTTTGTAAAAAATGGAGCAAATATATAAAAGCTGTAGTACTTCAAAGAAAAAAAAGTTTTCTTTTTTTACTTTGGGTCCCTTCCCTTTCTTTCATAACGTATGTTGCCTTCTTCTTTATTATGGGAAAGCCGCCACATGAGTTGGCCATTCTCATTAAGTATAATTAGGGCCAACGGGAAATACTTTTAACTCGACCTTAATTCCGTAAATATTTTTTTCTTTAGCATTATTTTGGGGGAAAAATCGAACTTGAATGTATATCTTATTCAATGAGTGAATATTAAAGAGTTTCATTTTACATTTTTTTAAAAATATTAACGCAAACAAAATATTTTAAGAATATTGGGTTCAATGTCTAAATATTACCATTTGATTCGTCACTGAAATTTAAAAGAGAAATAATTAAATAATTTATTTTAAATTTAAATATTTAATTATTCAAATACTCGAATATTCTTTAGTGATCAGGTCTTTGTTTTAGAGGTATTCGAATCTCCAAACTTTCGTTTTTCAGACTTTCAAATCCTCAAACCGTCGTTCTCTATATCTTCATATCTCAAAGGTTCATTATATTTTTGAATCTTTGGGTCTTCTTGAATGTACTATTCTGCTGGAAGGTTTTTGGTCTTTGAATGGCCTGATTTTAAACAAAAGAGCCATTTTATGACTTGATCTTCAATTAAAGGGCTTTTCGGGATACATGGTTTAATCTTCAATTGAATCTATATGCAATCTTGATAAGAACATCTTTAAATCTTAAAAGACTATTTCTTCAGATATTCAAATTTTCAAACCTTTGTTCTATACTTTGAATCTTCAAGTCTTCGTTCTTCATATCTCAGATTTATTTTATAAAAAACGGACGAAATGACAACGGATTCTTCACATGTTCTTAAAAAATTGTGATTTGATTTCTGCAAAGCTTCTCTAGAATTGTTTAGAGATTTTTTTTGCAGCGTTTCTTCGTCCAGAAGTTCACTGTACATTTCGTTTGACTGAGGCCGCACTTTATAGGTATGGATGGAATAAGATATACGTTAGGGTTCCAAACTTTCATCCAAGTCTCTTCATCTGGAATGAACTTTGGGCCCTATTTTTTTCTGTTTTCATAGCTAGAAAAACCAACACTTGTGTAATGTATCTGGACAACTTTCTTAAAAGATTTATAGCTATTTTCATGGAAATGGACAGATTTATTAATTAGATTTGTCACCCTCTTCATAAATTGGATCATGCTTCTTATATCAGTTAGGTGGAGTTACCAATGGTCAATAGTCTTTTGGTATTTCCATAATTTAAATATTATCTAGTTTCTTGTAACTTTCCATGCATCCTTAATTTATAAGATATAATGTTCATTTTTCCAACCAAAAACCTATGGTAGGTTTAGGGGTGGGCAAAAATACCGAAATATCGGTATACCGCACTTACCGTACCGAAAAATACCGGAAAATACCGAAATATTGGTATACCGTCATTTTCGGTACGGTATCATACCGTACCGATCTATTTTGGTACGGTAACGGTAAATGTTTTCAAATACCGTGGTATACCGGTATAATACCGTACCGACTCTCTACTCAACAATTACTTTTAATTCTAATTTATTGTAGAAATCCATTACAATTTTGAAGCCCAAAATTAATACTTAAGTTGGTTAGAAATACAAAGATACAAAAATAAATGCCCAATTTCTCAAACCCACTATAACCTTATAGGCTTCTACTACGCTAACCTTAATGACTAATGAGTAATGTACAAATGTCAAGAAACAAGTTCATCTTGTTCCAAGAGCTTGCAATTCGTGATGGCTGGGCCGCTAAGTAGCTGACGAGTGAAGAGAGATACACTTATGTGACAAGTGTATCCACATAGGGATTCCGCGAGTCAAGACACACAACTTTGTCCGAACGTCTTATTCAATTTTTAAAAAATTATAAAAATGACTAAATACACAATATCATATTAGGAATAAATGATTTTATATCCATGTTGTTTGAATAGTTTTATTTATTTTTGTTAGAGATCACTATTGGTTTAATTATATCTATATTGTTCAAGTTGTTTTAGGAGAATGTGTTACTTTTTAATATGTGGCATGTTGAATTGCTTAAATATACTAATAATTATTGTTCAATGTTGAATTAACATCAATAGATTATTAATTGTATTTCTTAACATTTAAATAATGATTTAATATGTCGCTAGTAATAATGATTTAGTATATTTCGTTAGTCTATGATAATTTTTTGTATTGGGAGACATGCACGGTAATTTACCGATACCGTACCGTTACCGAACCGAAACTTCGGTATACCGAAATGCGGTATACCGAAACTTCGGTAAGGTAAAGGTATGCAAATTTTGCATACCGAAAGTTTTGGTACGGCAAAGGTATGAGAAAAAATATAAGGTATACCGTACCGAACCACCCCTAGGTAGGTTAGTGATCTAGAATGTGAAAAGCTAAAGCACAATTTCAAACATATGGCATGAAAGCTACTAAATATAGAAAGTCATGCAGCAACAAAGTAATCATACATAATACATTTAAAGATAGTGAAACTTAGATGACAATAATCAAAAGAGTGCATTTTACTAAGATTTACTTACAATAATACTATATTGGAATATTGCAAAAAATGTTTTAATTTCATTTCTCCCTATACATTTATTGGAATGAAACAATATGTAATGACTCAAAACTAGTCTTGGAGAAGCTAAAGTGATAAATATGAAACATACAGGCAATACTCATATGCAATAAGGTACACATGTATGCAATATAAATGACTACTACTCAAGGTGGTCTCGTGGTCTAATTGATAAGAACATTGTGGCATACCGACGAAGGCGCATATCAATGTTGTCTCCAATATGTATCACATTATTTGCTACTTGTCCTCTTTTCCTCATTTTATAGCTACGCCATGCCAACTGCACATTAACGGCAGCCCAAGTCCTCCAGTTGGTAGAATAATACCTTGTTGTTCTCTTAAGCCTCTCGTTTGAAAATTGATATCGAAAGTGTTCGGTGATGAAGCGGATATGGCTGGCATCTAGGCCGAATGCTTCAACCGGCTTAATACAAGTAAATGTGGCTACAGACACTGGTAGCCTATCAATGAAGGGACGTCGAAGACACCATGATAAAAGCTCATCACCTAAGAAACCTCCTTGTTCAAGAGTACTTGTCGCTATCATACCTTTACTTAGATTTTGGCTGCTTTTTACATGACCTCGGACAATAAACACCATCTGTTGCACTAGATCTCCTTCTCTTATTATCTGTTCTCTTATCAATAAAATAAATCTAAATTATTTAACATTTCATAGTACACATTATTAATAAAAATATGTATCATAATTTTCAAATATTTTGCTGGTATGCTTATGTAGTTGTGTACATTCTCATCTTTGGAGAAGATTAGAGGCTTAATGCGGTCGCATATGTTGTCAAGAATGAGATCATCCAAACTGCTAAATAGAGGAACCTGAAATTGATAAGAAAATTGAAATCATAACTATTATAAAAAAAGACTATTTAAAGAGTGAGTGATATTCAACCATATATCATATGACTTGAAATTTTATCTTAACGTTTTAATTCGAGGGTAATTAAGTTTGAGAGTTTATATTTTAATTTGTATTTTATACTGGACCAATGTGAGATGCTAGCTACTGTGAAGACGAATAGTGATGAATGAAAACACAAACCATTAAGCTAGTTACATAAGTGGGGCATATAGAGTTTCTTAACATTTAATAAGCTCATGAAAACTTCTACA